TCCCCTTTAAACCGTAAAAATCTCCCCCCAGGAAAATGATACCACAGACCTCTAAAATCAAAATTTCACATGTATATATATCGGGCGGAAAGACAAGGTCGACTCATGTCAAGATAAGTGTTCTTTCACGCCGGGGCGTGGCAGCATTTATTAACACTGACTAAAATGCAATGACTGCAGCATTGTTGGAATACCTTTTGCGACATGTGTGTTTGCATTTTCTACATTTCAAATTCTTATGCCATCTAATTTCGTGGCCAGCTGACTACAATACTGATTTTAAACTAGTTCCTGGACTCTTGCCAAAAACAATACAAAGGTTTACCACAATCCTTCACTTCGAAGTACAAATTTATCTATAATTTTTCCGACCAGCACAAATACGTTTTTAGTTAGTTAATAAGGCAAACGTATGTTTTGGCTATTCTTTAAAAGAAGATTTCTAATTCTTTGCATAATATAACTTAGATGAAGAATGGCAATTATATGTAAAACTAGCGGAAGAAAATTATGACGTACAACACAATTTGAAATATGCTGTACAATACAATATGAAATATGCTATAGTATTTGTCAAACTTGAGTATGTCACAGAAGCGTGTAAGATTTTCAGCGCATTTCAACGTAAAAATTTCAACTAGCACTTATTCATGATGTGATAAATATGTTGAGTGCGATTTGACGACTAAGGTCATTAGTGATAAATATTTGACGATTACTAGCATGAGTTGTTGCATGTAAATAGCATCAACTAGTTCTCATAACACACAACAATGGCATTAATACTCTTACATTTAAAACAATTTCCCACGCTTACTGTTGATTATGCAGCTGCTGTACACTTTATTAACTATTTTGCAGTAATAGCACCGTTTTCTTTCCTGGAAGATTACATGCAAGATTGGAGAACTTATATGTATCAACATGTTCAAAGTGTTAGGTAAAGTTGCTGAACTTTTCGCAGAGTTCGTTGAGTTCGTCCAGCAAATTGATCTGCACTTTGATTCTTAGTTATGGAATTTTCAATAAGAAAGAATTACGACCTATTCACAACAATCTTGAAAGCTTAACTCTACTCTTAGTCTCTAATTTTACTTCTATTTATACCAATATTTTCGTGCGTAGGAAATAAATTTTCGTACATACTAATGTTATTCTTCCGCGTAAAATGAATTGATTTATCAGCAGAACAAAGTGAAAGCAAAGTATGAGGATTTATTTTAGCTGATTAAAATATTAATGCGTTTAGTAGAAGTCTAAATTTTACCTGCAAATGTTGGAGAATAAAATGACAACAACCAGTATCGAAAAGAAGAATGAGTATGCCATATTTTCAGATGAAAACTTGAACAAAATTATCAAGGTTATTTTCTATGAACCTCTTTAATATTGTGCAACACACTGATGGATTAACATAATAAATTATAAAGAAATGTTTCTAGTTAAATACGGCTTTCTTGTTTGTCAAACATTTTCATAAAACGGATCCCCTCATAAGACTTTAATTTCCTGTTTTTAAAGAATTACGATAACATTGTCAAGAGATAATGCATATTAATAATGCATTCTTTACCATATAAAAAATGAAAAACTCAAGATGTCTTTGTTGTTATAGAGAACGGTATTTTCACTGCTCAATGTTATGTCTGGGAGTGTCATTAATGATTTATTTTGTAGCTAATAAAAAAATATTGCAGAACTCTGAAACTTGATCATATTTAAAAACAATATTGGGTGTTAATCCCATCGAAATGCTTTTCTTAAACATTATCAAAAACTTGGCTTTTAACCAGTTATTGAATATCCCTTTCATTTTAATTTTTAATAACGATGAATGAATTAATAAGCGTGAGTTGTGTAAGGTCAAGATATTACATCTCGTGAAAAAATTTTTAATTAATAAGAAAAACTTTTTGTTAAGGCAAAACACCTACGAGACGTATGCTGTTAAGATTTAATCATGTTTGCTTCAATACATAGTTCTGTAATGATTGATAAAAATTCATCGTTATGGATTAGTAATCTCAATGTAGTAATTTTACTGATCTTGAAATAGGACTGGATCAAGCAACTCTAAATTTGTGTTAAAAAGTTTAGAAGCAACCACCGTCATTACTAAGGGGTCAACACTTCTAAAGATTTATTTGACAAAACAAACAAAATTATTGAAAACATAACAGCACATGGCCAAATCATGTTTAAATTATGCAGAAAGTGAGAAACAACTTTGTGGTGTAAGTAAAGAGAGTCAGGATCAGGAAGAATAGTCGACCGTATAAGAATAGTTTGCATATACAGGTTTCACTTCGTATTACTCGTAAAAAGGCTGGTAATTTTCAATGATTTATCAAATTTGTGCGTGTAAACATTTGAGAGTAAAACGACAACAACCACTATTGAAAAGATAAGCGAGACAGCCATGTTTTCAGATAGACGTTAGTTACAAAATGATAACAGTTACCCAATAAAAACCTCTTTTATGATGTCCTACACACTTATCAAGCTACACAATAAGTAATAAAAAAATGTTTTCACCTAAGTATAGCTTTCTTGGTTGTCATTCATTTTCATTCAACGGATGCTGACTTAAGGTTTGAAATTCCTGCATATTAATTCATTTTGACAATATGGTCAAAAGCTATATCGTTCTATCTACAAAAATTTTGTGTCAACTCCTTTTCATGAGAGCAAGTGATATCTATTGTTTGATAAAATCAGTTTTCAGCTGTTGAAGTATACTTTTTTTCGTTATAAAAAATTAACTAGACGTATGTTGTCATGACTTAATAATTCTGCGCTCGTTAATTAAATCTGATCGTTACGGATTTCCATGTCAATGTAGTCTAAAGCTCTTCATTTGTCATCTATATTAGAGAAAGAGGTTTCTAATAAAAAAATAACGCGTGCTTTAACAAACAAGAGAAGTCGAGTTGGTTGTATAATGATGCAAAATAGATGAAGTATTTAGGTGTTTTATAACAAAAAAGACTTTTGAGCGATTGTTTTCTTAAAGATAATATAAGTGTATCGCCATAGCAACAGACGTTCGAAAATAAAAATATTCTAGAAGGCAGTATTACTAATTGCTCAAAAGAGCCCTAATTTTTACTGTAAAGCGCTACAGTTTCACTTACCTATTGAAAATTGAGTGAATTTTACTATGGCTTACTCTGTGTTAGAGTATCTACAATGTCATGTGTTTTGTTTAGTTTGAAGAAATAAAGCATAGAGACAAAAAATTGATTTTATTCTGTTAGCACTGTTGACAAATAATAACAAATAAACGTATGGACATGATCATAACCAGCAATAAAAGGCTGTACAAGAGGGCACTCTATATGTTAAAATTGACAATAAATTTAATAGAAATTAGGAAACCCTTTTTAGACGAATATATTTCGTGCAGTACTAAGATTAGCCTATTTATAAGTGGGTGAATTATAGTACAGAGGAAAAGTAAGGTAGGTGCTGTATCCCAAATTTTAAAATCAATGAAAATAGGCAGCAGTAATGAACAGATCTATTTGGTTCGAATAAGCTATTAATCAAATATCGTCTCCTTATAATGTTCATTCTATTTACAATGTTTGTCTATCAAAGGGGTGAAGTGTTTTTAAATAATTAATTATTTTTAAATTGTTTAAAATATTTTTGATTAGATGCAGCCAGTTATTTAACTCTTAATTGAATGTGATCGTAACAATTCTAAATAACAACCAGGGTTTTGGTAAATATTACACCAGCACAATTACTGTATCAAATCACAACATATTTTTGCTACACTTTGCAAATGCAAAGATGTGGAATTTTTACCACATCCCAGTATTGTAAGCAATGTAGCGTTGCTTGGGATTGAGTTAATTAAAAGCTTGGCCAACAAAGACGTTAAATGACACAAAAATATACATTATTAAACAATTTTTTTCCCAAAAAAGAACAATATTTCATTCAAGAAAGTTAAATGAAGTGTAGCTACTTAAATGCATAGACAAACTAATGAAGTTCGTTCTAAAATATACAGTTTCAATTTTGTATGCATGCACTATGATATTAAATGCAAAAAATGAAAATAAACGAAAGTTCTCACTTCTTAAGTAAAAAATTACGAGGTCGTATTTTCATGGAAGTGGATTTCAAGGGGTAGTAATGGCCTTTCCACACAAGCCAATTGATACCATGATTTTTTGAACATGTGTTAGCATTCAATATTTATAATTAGAATCAAATGTACACTAGTGAGTTTCGGTTTTCTATACAAAATTATTTGAACGTACATAAATCCATTTCCAAGTTTAGATTTAGCTCCGCGACTTAGCCCATTATTTACACTTGATCGTTAATGCAGCAAAGGTACTTGTTGTTTATCGAGTATACATGAAAAAGTTTCCAATCCTCCACTATTATTCAACTTAATTCCTATATACGTCCTTAGATTTGTTTTCAAAAATGAATTAAATCTTTAACAATTGTAGTCAATTAAAATAACAAATTAAAGCTAAGGTATTGATGGAAACTTGAAATATTTATGGATTCAATCGAGCAGTCTATAGGTTTACTGCGATTGCATGTATATAACAAGTCACTTTTTGTTTGCGAATACATTTAAATTATATTTGCATTTTCTGCATAATAGCTATTAATACTTGAGTTAGCAAGAAAACATAATGTTACATAAGTTAACTTTGACTATTTAAAAATTTTGATGGCACGAGTCCTGCAAAAGGAACATAAAATTTCTAGATAGTCTTTACAATTATGACAATCAAAGAATAGAAATAGGCTTTCCAAAAGATCAAAATTTTTATATTCTTTGTGGAGATCTTTGAAGTACTGAATCAACATTATTGATACTTATGACCTAAAAGTAAATACATTAGACACATAATTGTAAATAATAGTGGAAAACATCGATTGTGATTTTGAAGAAATTTTTTAATTTGGCACTCCGTAAATATTAAAAACATAAACAAACTATCGAAAAAAGAGAAGAAACCAGCATCTTGAAGAGAGAAAAAAAACATTAGAATTTATTTTAAACACTACCAGTGCACAAAATGAGATACAACTATATAAAGTATAACGAAAGAAATTTCATAGAAAATAAGCATCAACTTTTTTATTTTACAGGAGAGGAGTACAGCAGTATACATATCCCTTAAATGCATATCGTGATGTTTGAGTTCCCCATGAAGGAAGATATCCTACTGAAGAATGGAGTATGCATGTCTTATGAGGACCATTATTGCCTAAAAAACATTTATAAAATCAATCTTTTAGTTAATAAGTCTTGAAGCTAATAATTATTTTTAAAAGGTATAAATAGAAAGGATGAAACCAGTTATCTTTCAAACAGAAGTCCTTCTCCCTAGTGTTACTAAATATTATATTTTTTCGAGGATGTTTGTAACTATATTTTCTATACAGGTAGATAGTATTTTTACCAATTTGAAGCCATTGGTTATATGCGTCTTTAACAGGAGTCCAATGATCACCAAACCTTACTGGTCCAACTGGATATTTACCATCTCGACAAATGACAAAAGAAGGACACAATTGTTTTCCATCAGCTTTACATGTCGTCTTGGCAGACAAATAAGTAATATCGCTAGAAAGGGACTTGACAACGTATGCTGAAAAAATATGACTTAAAATGAATTTCAGGAAGTAATATGAAACACATTAATTTTAATGAAAGGAATTAAGATACATTAAAGTAGCATTAATTTCTTCTTTTCTTAACTATGTGGAATTTTAGACTGTATTTTCCAACTCACCAACACCCACAACGCTGCGTGTTTTCCTCTCCATCTGTATTAAGTCATCATCAGCTCTCATAACTCTTGCACTGTACAAAACAAAAAATCAGACTCAGTGATAAAATATTATAGAATATTCTTGATAAATAAATAACGGTGGAATATTTTTATAAATAACGGCTCATAGCTCATATCCATCCTTTGTTCAGAATTCTTACAAGCATTTAGAAGAAAGTATTGAGAAATGTTGACGCTAAAAGATTATAATAATAACATTAAGGAATTTGATCAGTAATATAGATCATGATTATTTACGAGTTTTCTGATAGAAAGTAACTAGCGCAAAAATTTTTCAAATGACCAATGATTCTTCAAGAAGATTGTTATGAGTCTGACAGTAAATATAACGCACAAAAACAAAAACAACAAAAGTATTGAAAAGAAGCGGGAATGAGCCATATTTTCAGACGAAATTGATAAAAAATTATAACAGTTACCAACTGGAAACCTCTTTAATGGCTGCTAAACACTGATGAAATAACATAATAAACTATAAAGGAATGTTTCTAGTTAAGAAAAAGCTTTCTTAATTGTCGTGCATTTTCATTAAACTGATATCAACTTAAGATTATAAGTTCTTGTTATGAAATATTTATGACCACATGGTTATTACACGATGCATATGGAATATTCTTTTAATGAAGACAATGACTTTATAATAAATGCACGATTTATGATTTCTCAGTTCCTTTGAGAAAAATTTGTCAAAAATCATTTTCATGTCTTCAATTTTTTTAAAGACAATTTTGTCACTCTTTAAAATCATCAAACGTATTTGCTCAAAATTTGCGTGGAATTTGCAAAATGAAAATATTTGACAGTTAAAAAATTCTCTTTGAAGCAACAGAAGAATTTGAAAATAATTTAGATCTATTAATAGCGACATTAACAGTCCATGGATGAATTCTTGGTGAAAAATGCATCATACACATCGACATGTATAACATGCTTCAAAAAAGTTATTCCAAAAACTGATCAAATGGGAAATTGTGAAGCCTACAGTGTTAACTGCACGTATATACTATAAAAATATAGACACAAATAAACAGTTTACAAAAAGCTTAACTCTGCATACCTTAAATAGTTTTAGTTTTGACTTTGTTTACGTTTCAATTGCACTTTCTAAGCAATGACGTCAATGTGAATATGATAGTTTGTAATATTAAGAACTTAAAATTTCAAGAACTTAGATTGTAAAAAACTGATATTGATAAGTTAATTTTTTTTACACATGTGAACCTATTTTAATTGTTGTGACAATAGTTAGAAGGGATCAGCAGTTCAAAAATACTATACACAATAATACAATATATATTCTTAAGAAGCTGTCATACATGGCTGGAGTATTTTCGTTGGTAATATTTAAAGGTATAGAAGTATCTTTATGATAATTGTTCAGTAAATTATTTTTTTTTACATTGCTTCGACTTTAATTTGTATTCATTTAGTGTGGCAAGGCAACACTTTCATTTTAATAGTAGCTTCTAGTTACGCTGAGGCGTGGCAGCTAACTATTCTTGACATGACTGGACCTTTTCCGCAACGCGACCTATATACTGGTGAAATCTCGATTAGTGTCTGTCTGTTAACAATTCTGGTGGGGGATTTTATGAAATGCGGCCTAAATAAAGTAATATAGTAGATGCTAAAATCGAGTGATCACCGACATCGATTATACATATCTCGTTTGGCGAAAAACACATGAAATGGTTCACCGTGCCGTATTTAGCCGGTCGGCTCACATTTTTTATATTGCGCTCTATGGTCACACGGTGAGAAAACTGTTGTGTAAGCATGTATTTATTTTCGTTCGAGCTTTTATTATTACTTGAAATATCGGTGTGGATTTAACAAAACGTCAATAATAATTTAAACGCATGGTGCGAGTTTAACCATGAAATATGAATTATGAACACGATGAAGCGTTTGCTCTAGGCGAAACCATACATCATTTTATCGCAGTCGCGTAGAATCATCGGAAAGAAGCTTCTATGAAAATGTTATAAAGGAAATAATGGAAACAAAACTACAGTTTTATAATATTGTCCGTTTCTACGTTTGTAAACATGCGCTCGATTGATCGGTTGAGTAATTAAAGTATAATACTTTTAATCAAAAGCATTTTAAAGACAAATTTGTTGGAGATATAAACATGTTATCAAAAAATCGTTCTCGTTCGAAATGGTAATGAATTTATCTTTAAAACTATTTGAAACGTAAAATGAAATAAGATGTAAAGCGCGGGAGCTATTTTTTCCCGGAAATCAACCGTCGACTTTCAGAACGCGTGCATTATTGACTGTCGTTAATCATCAAAAGTTCAACAATACAAGAAAGGTATCTTTTTTTTATTGTAGAACAGTAATACACAACTATGCGGGAATTCGTAACATTGAGAAAATGAAATAACGTTCGAAAATATATGTCCAAACTAAGCTCCTACCCGTCACAAATGATGCATCTTTTTGAATGCTTAGTTGACGCATCTATACATAGCTAAGTCTTTTAGCACGTACAACAAAAACTTCGAGAAACTTTATATTTACCTGTGCACATTACTGAATACAATTAAAATAATCAATAATGAAATAAAGTTGGAGTAAGCCATCTTTACAGAAAGAAATCGTTCCAAAATGTTTCACCAAAAAACAATTAACTTCAAAGTTAAACTGCACCTAAATATTCAACGAACCTTTGCTTTTGTTGCAGTTTCCCTAATTAAGAGCGAATTTTATCTGATACGCATTTTGCTGAAACGGAAGTTTACAGAAGATTTTAACAGTCAATAAAATATGACACGTTGAAGAAACAAATGGTGAAAATTATGCAAACAATGACCTTTCTTAAGAAATTAAATTTGCTTAGCCGAAAATTAAGCATTACATATTAATTTGATAATTACTTCATATCCTTTTTTGTCATACAAAATGCAATTTCCTGCACTTTCTTCTTTGAAGAAGGAGTATGGAGCTCATTTCCATATAATCGCCGAATCATCATTCGTGTGAAAAAACTCAATTTTCTTATTAAGCCCACTTGATAAGCTGTCAAAAATTATGAAATACCCGTGATTTCCATATGATCGCCAATCGTCAACACACTAAAAAAAGCATGGGTACATGGGTACATTTGTGCGCACTTCGAGTACAGGGGGACCAAAATAAAACAATGGACAATTTACTTCTAAGATAGATTAAATGTATATATTTCTCTTATAGCATGTACACGTCATCTAGACCTGCCCAGATGGTTATATTTCTTAAAAAATCTGTATAATCTAAAAACTTAAACAAAATATTTTGAGCTGCTCTTGAGCTTTTAAGCATAAACGTCAGTCGCAAATCATTGAAGGAGTCCGTTACAAGAGCAACATTCGATGATTGATGCTTATTTATTAGAAGAACTAGAAATGCAATGCCTATTTTGGTTTTATTTCAGTATAAATTCATGGTATGAATAATTTTTATTGCGCGTTGAATCGTCGAAACGCCCGATTCCCGGTTTCCATTACAAATAGCAACCGTCGTCCTTTTGCCGCTCGCAAAATTCGATCGTCGAGATAGAACTTGGTTCCTAATCGTCCAACATTGTTTCCATTTAATCGCTGCGCCAAAATCGCTATTTTTTCGTCGCTTGGCGGTTCGATGATTATATGGAAACCGAGCACAATATTAACGCCAATTTCCGTTAAAAACAGACGGGAATGTGCTATGTTGATTTAATATTAACCAGTCTCACAGGACGTATTTTAACCATATAAATTAAAAATCACCATATTGACTTAGCAATCATGTTATAGATGTCAATAGTTATATAGAACTGCATGTTTCACTGTTTTCAAGCAAAAAATTATCACAAATGTAATGATTATTAAAACTCGTTTTGCAAGAATTCATTTTTCTTGACGACGGCGAAGTTTACATGTAACAAAATTTACATTTTAGTGATTTCCGGAAGTGTTTGTTTATTATCAAATATCTTGCAAAATACTATAGACATACAAAAACAAATTACATCATTAGATATATAGCCTAGTAAGTTTTATTACTTGGACGTTTTGTAAATGAATACAACAGTGCATTCACATCACATTATGCAGTATGCACATATTATATTAGTACACACACATCACAATACTTACCAAAGGTTTTCGGAATTTAAGGCTTTTATGTTTTAGATACCACAAAATAGAGTAAATGATGATAAAATTCCCTCAATTTCTTCACACAGATGTTACTTCAGCTTTTCACAATAAAAAATACGCATTTTCTGGGTATTTAACTAATCTTTGATCAACGATTGTATATAAAGATAGTAAACATCCAGTGAATTGTTGATGTATCACAAGGATCTTTGTCGGTAGAATAATTTATCGTGAAAATCTCATATAAATTTTTATCGTATAAGAAAATATGCTAAAATGAATTGATTCCCAATAGTTTGATAATTTTAGGATGTAGAGACATTTATGTTAAAATTTTTCGTTGTCAGCTTTCCAACTTCCAAGTGTTCTCGTATGGTCCTAAACACTGACCAAGCGTTTAGCACGAAATGCTTTGTCAAAGATATAATTTGTTAATAAGTGTTTCATTTTATGGTGTGTATGATAAATATTGAGACAATCAACTTTGGTAAATTAAATTTTGGTAATTACAACAAAATATATTGAACATGTCGAAAGGAAGATCGTTAGTTAGTGATGGGGTTGATAAAAAAAAATTGAGACTATTGAAAAATAATTGCATATCATAAACCTATAAATGCGATTTTTTGACTATCAATTTCTTGACCAATGGTTAATTAACTACAAATTAAAATATTTACATTTATCAATTTAAATTAAATTTTTAAAAAAAAATATATTCATTAAGGGATCTTAGGATTTTCAAACATCAGTCATTAGTTTCAAACATCTGAGGTATTTTGAATTTCAGAGCCTTAAAAATACCATTTTCGTTTTGAGCAATACAATTGTTTTTGGGCATCGTTTTGCGTAAAACAACACATTTTGCTTACGTTTTCAAAAAAAAATGAAGTGAACAATACTTGAATGTTTTGCCAAATATATGGCTCATTAGCATGTCTAGGAACGTAAAATTTATTTTACAATAATGCTATTCAAAAACAGATGTAGTCTTTAAAAATTTCTACCAAGTTGTCAGTCATAGACCCCCATAGAGACCCCCATTCAAACCTCTATGTAATGAGTTAAATTAGAAATTTGGTATGACAAGTGACAGTTTATAGATAGAGAAAAGCTCAGACTTCAAACCATGCAAGTTTATTGTAACCATTTACCCATCTCCACAACAGTGCCAGCAAATTCACCTTTTGAGAAAAAACTCAAAATTAAAGAAAAATTAAGCAAAAATTATCAGTTAATTTACAGTTAATGCCATAAATGTTTATTAGGCATTTCACTAGACTATTATCTTCTGCAAATGTGCTATATAGCAATCACTAGTAGCATTGTATTATCAAATACAAACAGAATCTAACCAACATGTCTTTAATTATATAATTACATGAATGTTAAAATTGGTTCATGTGTCATGCTTACTGGTTATGATAAATATCTTTTCATATGATCAAAGCTAGTTTAAATGTAAATCTGAAATAATTTAGTTTAGAAATTATACTGATCATGAGAAAAAGTACTTAAAATACATTTCCCAAATTTCAAATTTCCTGCAAACATTAAAGACATTTTTACTTTATAGAAAATGCTATTCATACATCAATAGCTCTTTGAATTTATGGCAAACAATCTGGTATGAGTCCTAGATTAACACACCTTTACATCTCAATGAGGTGTTCAGTTAGAAAAGGGACAATATGTGATGTGAACACACTTCATGTGATTCCAGTCAAATTGTTAAAATTAAAAGTCTGGATCAGAAGACTCAAAATCACAGGTTATAGTAAACAGCCTCTCATGTAATCAATGTTAGTTTTCTCAAATCTTAAACAATATGTAGTATAACTGTCCAATGATTGAATGATCAATGATCATAAACTGAAAAGCCCCAAACATTTTTTTATGATAAAGTAAATAATAGAATGGCGCCTTATGGCTACAGATTTTTTGTCCATTGAAATATATTTTCAGGAATGTAGGATTTCGCTGCCATATAACGGTCACGATTCCCCAAGCACTAAAGAAATCATAGCTAAAAGTCCTTCGGCAACAACATTTTAGAAGCATCAATCTGCTTACCATACGCATATTAACATAAATCATCACACACTCGCATAAATTGACTTTGATATATTACATTCATGCATACACTTCAGTTGTCCTTTACTTACGATTTTGGATGTAAATTTCTGCTATAAAACAATTTTGCTTTTGAATGAAAATGTAATCGTGAAATCGTCTTTCCAAGCATTTTAATTAAGCATAAAATTAATCCTCTTGAAAAATTCCCAGTTTGGAAAGCAGCATTCATGTCAAGCATATGAATTATGAATAATTTCTATAAATTCCATGTGATTGTAATTTAGTTTCTATCATGCTTTAAAAAATTACTATGAAACGATCAAACATTCAATTCAGACAGTGAGCTTGACTATGTTAGTTCAGTTGGCTATCAGTCGAAATCCGTCAAACCAATCACAGTAAGACAAAAATTTAAACGAACCAATTACACGATAGTAAGTGGACTCCCTTATAGGTCCGGCTGCCCCACTTATCGGTCGAGATTATTCTAGATCGTCCACTGATCTGGCTATTGACCAATGAAATAAGCGTTTTTGGCGTTCATAGACTTTATAGAACCATCAATCCGCTTATCAGTCGGTTATTCCAGGTCAATTAAAATTAAACTGATCTGGTTATAAAGATATTCATTATTAATTAGTCAAATTAAATATAATTTTATCACAAATAAAGCTATAATAAAGTAAGAATGAATTAATTAAGAATAAAAATTTTAATTAATAAAAATAGGTAATTTTGAATTTCAACATACTTTGACATCCGCCCTGACCCCAACAAGCCTCAAACCAGGATAAATTTTCAGTTTGCAGTTTAATTATACTGGATACTTTGAAAATATAATTCTTTGAAAAACTTGAGCACTATTCTTTGAAAAAGAGCATTATCATAAACCATAAACCCCTAAATGCGACCCTCCAATTCGTTAATTAACTACAAATCTAAAATATTTCATTAGTACTATTTATCGAGTTCAGATTTTGTTACATTTATTAAGTTTAAATTATACAGAAGGTATTTGACCCCAAACCAGGATCATATTTCAGTTTGCAATTCCATTAAACAAGGATATATTTTTGTTACAATCATTACAATTTGATTTTTTTCATAAAACCAACCAGTAATAATCTTTCTAATCTCTGTGTGAGAAACAAATGCACAAAATGAGCATTCTTTATGACAGATTGTCGCTTTGTTTCATTGGTTGTTTGAGAAGTGTCACAATGATTATTAGCATTAAATAATGCATGCAACTCAATGCATATCTGCGTAGAAGAATGTAAAAAATATGTTAGTGATGTAACATTTGTAACAATTGCTTTCAGCTCTTAGCGAACTTTATTCCAGTAAGTATTTAAGCCTGCAAGATTCTCAAACTATCTAGAAATTTTAGACACAAAAAAGTTAACGTTGTTACTTGCAGCAATTTCACGCAGTTATTTTATGGTAAAATGAGCTTCACTTGGATTTTGCTTGAGGAATGTCCATTTTGCTGTTAAATTTGTTTCATTTTAAGCATATTAAAAGTCATTATAAAAATGTAGCATGATTTGTAAAATTTTATACGCATTTATTATTAATAATTTCAGCAAACGTTAGAAAATGCTTTATTTATTCTTGACGAGGAAATTCTCTCAATGATGAAACATTTTTAGGAAGTTTTTTAGGAAAGATGCATAAATTTCAAATGACTGAAAACAATGAAACCTTGTATATAAAGTAACGACACTCACGGGTCAAGGTCTGATTACTTAGTAAAGAACCTGTCATTTCAAAAAAATATATATAAATTTCCTGCAAAGCACCTTATTCTCAATGCATGTACGTACTATCTAGCAAAGTTGTTTTACTTGTTTAATTTTCTACTTACAACTCTGCAGTCGCAATTACTCTCATCACTTTCGGTTGAAGTCCCTTCTACAGAATCAACGGTTGGAACAGAATCAGAGCGTAATTGTAGTTTCATATTAAGCGATTTTGCAACAACTACGCTCACTGTGAATGCAGAATCAGCGGAATGCATTAAACATAGCAAAGAGTACTGCTGCCGAACGAATTTTGACCGATGCCTCCTCACAAATTTTGTCCATTTACTCAGTCTTTTATGAGGAAACGATGTACTGAGACATCTTCTGTGTGTTGACTTTTTGTGCAACTTTTTCCCTTTTGCCAACCAGCAACACAATAATGTCTTCATCGACGCTTTTTATTCAGAATTTTGCGTACATGCCATATTTTTACTTGCAGTGTATTTCATCTTTTACTAACTTGGTGAAAAATGTTTTCCTCATATTATGTGCGTTCTTGTAATATTGCATGAGTTTCAAAACCACAGACTAGGTCAAGGATGCAGCACCCACTTTATAGAGATTTATAAGTTTATTATAGAACTTCATAAATCTTTTATGGATTGTAGTTATTTACTATGCGTATTACTCATCAGTCACACTATATACGCAATTACTTCAAAGAAAAGAATAAAAAATGTAAAACTCAAGCTGGAAATATTGTGGTTCTTATATAATTTTTGTATACTAGAAGCTTTAAAATTCAACTTCCATCGTTAAAACATCCCACGCTCAAAGTCAAATTTGCATCAAAACAAGCAAAAATGCAATGTTTGATTGCAAAGTTTGATGCTTTCCCGTTGACCAAATTCAGTGAACGATAGGTGAAAAGGATCAGCACTTAAAATACAGGGAAAACGTCTGTGTCGAAAAACGAAAAAAGAAAATTGCACTTCTGTAGCACTTATAATAAAAGCTTGGCCTTTAACCAGTTATTGAATATCCTCTTTATTTAAAACTTTAATAAAGTTCAATGAATTAATAAGCGTGAGTTGTGTAAGGTCATGACATTCCAGCTTGTACAAAAAAATCTATCCATAAGGAAAACTTTATGTTAAGGCAAAACACTCACGAGACGTATGCTGTTAAGATTTAATCAGGTTTGCTTCAATACATACTTCTGTAATGATCGATAAAAATTCATCGTTATTGATTAGTAATGACGATGTGGTAATTTAACTGATCTTGAAATAAGACTGGATCAAGCAACTCTAAATTTGTGGTAAAAAGTTTAGAAGCAACCACTGTCATTACTAAGGGGTAATCACTTCGAAAGATTTATTTGACAAAACAAACAAAATTATTGAAAACATAACAGCACATGGCCAAATCATGTTTAAATTATGCAGAAAGTGAGAAACAACTTCGTGGTGTAAGTAAAGAGAGTCAGGATCAGGAAGAATAATCGACCGTATAACAACAGTTTGCATATACAGGTTTCACTTCGCATTACTCGTAAAAAAGGCTGGTAATTTTCAATGATTTATCAAATTTGTACGTGTAAACATTGGAGGATACAACGACAACAACCAGTATTGAAAAGATAAACGAGACAGCCATGTTTTCAGAAAGAAGTTAATTACAAAATGATAACAGTTACCCACTAAAAACTTCTTTATGATGTCCTACACACTTATCAAGCAACACAATAAGTTATAAAAAATAGCTTTCTTGGTTGTCACATTTTGATTCAACGGATGCTGACTTAAGTTTGAAATTCCTGCATATTAATTCATTTTGACCATATGGTGAAAAGCTATATCGTTCTATCTACAAAAATTTTGTCTCAACTCCTTTTCATGAGAGCAAGTGATATTTATTGTTTGTTGCAATCAGTTTTCAGCTGTTGAAATATACTTTTTTTCGTTATAAAAAATTAGCTAGTCGTATGTTATCATGACTTAATACTTCTGCGGTCGTTAACTAAATCTGATCGTTACGGATTTCCATGTCAATGTAGTCTAAAGCTCCTCATTTGTCATCTATATTAGAGAAAGAGGTTTCTAATAAAAAAATATTGTGTGCTTTAACAAACAAAGACTTTAAAACAGAGAAGTCAAGTTGGTTGTATAATGATGCAAATTAGATGAAGTATTTACATGTTTTATAATAAAAAATACTTTTGAGCGATTATTTTTTTAAAGATGATATAAGTGTATCGCCATAGCAACAGACGTTCGAAAATAAAAAATATTCTACAAGGCAGTATTACTAATTGCTCAAAAGAGCACTAATTTTTATTGTAAAGCGCTAAAGTTTTACTTACCTATTGAAAATTGAGTGAATTTTTTACTATGGCTTACTCTGTGTTACAGTATCTACAATGTCACGTGTTTTGTTTAGTTTGAAGAAATAAAGCTTAGAGACAAAAATTGATTTTATTCTGTTAGCACTGTTGACAAATAATAACAAATAAACGTATGGACATGATCATAACCAGCAATAAAAGGCTGTACAAGATGGCACTCTATATGTTAAAATTGACAATAAATTTAATAGAAATTAGGAAACCCTTTTTAGACGAAATATATTTCGTGCAGTACTAAGATTAGCGTATTTTTTAGTGGGTGAATTATAGTACAGCGGAAAAGTAAGGTAGGTGCTGTATCCCAAATTTTAAAATCACTGAAAATAGGCAGCAGTAATGAACAGATCTATTTGGTTCGAATTAGCTATTAATCAAATATCGTCTCCTTATAATGTTCATTCTATTTACAATGTTTGTCAATCAAAGGCTTGAAGTGTTTTAAATAATTAATTATTTTTGAATTGTTTAAAATATTTTTGATTAGATGCAGCCATTTATTTAACCCTTAATTGAATGTGACCGTAACATTTCTAAATAACAACCAGGGTTTTGGTAAATATTACACCAGCACAATTACTGTATCAAATCACAACATATTTTTGATACACTTTGAAAATGCAAATTTTTGTAAAATTCTAATAAGTGAATTGGTATAAAACACGACATTTGAAATTTTTACCACATCCCAGTATGTGACCGTAACATTTCTAAATAACAACCAGGGTTTTTGTAAATATTACACCAGCACAATTACTGTATCAAATCACAACATATTTTGATACACTTTGAAAATGCAAATTTTTGTAAAATTCTAATAAGTGAAATGGTATAAAACATGACATTTGAAATTTTTTCCACATCCCAGTATGTGACCGTAACATTTCTAAATAACAACCAGGGTTTTGGTAAATATTACACCAGCAAAATTACTGTATATTTGATACAACATACTTTTGTTACACTTTGGAAATGCAAATTTTTGTAAAATTCTAATAAGTGAAATTTTTAATTTTGAAATTTTAAATTTTAAATTTTTACTACATCCCAGTGTTGTAAGCAATGTGGCGTTGCTTGGGTTGAGTCAATTAAAAGCTAGGCCAACAAAGACGTTAAATGACACAAAAATATACATTATTAATCAGATTTTTCTCAAAAAGAACAATATTTCATTCAAGAAAGTTAAATGAAATGTAGCTACTTAAATGTATAAAAAAACTAATGAAGTTCATTCTAAAGTATACAGTTTCAAGTTTGTATGCATGCACTATGATATTAAAAGCAAAAAATGAAAAGAAACGAAAGTTCTCACTTCTTAAGTAAAAAATTACGAGATCGTATTTTCATGGAAGTGCTTTTCAAGGAGTAGTGATGGCCTTTCCACGCATGCCAATTGATACCATCAGCATATGACGAGTGTTTACCATGATGATAGATCCCGTTTAAATTAGAAGCATGACAACTTTCATACCACCATGCGCCCTTAAACACGATTGCACAATTGCCAGAGCTTTTATCGTTGTCAGAATCTTTTGTCGAAAATGCCATTCCTTTATGGGAACTGAACGAATCACCAGCTGTTCCTAAATGTGTATTCAGAACGATTCAGCTAACGAAAAGCTTATGTCACGTCTAAAATTTATACCTCTTAGAATTTCTCATGAATGTCTCAATACACTATTCTTAAAAGAATTTGTTACTATATAGCCATGCTGACCGACTTTTAGAGCAAAAAGTCATATCATGAAAAATTTTGTTTCTTTTTCTGGAAAGATGTTTTCATCAATTTGTATTTTTATCTATAAAATCTTAAAAACCTAAATTGTTAATGTTACACCACTTGAATGTTACACTTTCATGTCCGACAAGCGATTTTTATATGTGTTCTGTTTTATAAAAAAATAACAATCGACAATATGGCTTTTGTTTGTGTGAGTGCAGCGGAAATAAATTTCTACAAGTCATCTAATCGAAAGTTGCTTGTCAACTAAAGAATATTTTTCTAGGCAATATCAATTCAAGCATTGGATGATAAAATAAAAACTAATCAAAATGTTTAATTTCTAGAGAATGAAAAAAGACATACTTTATGAGACCTTTGTTAATTTTAAAACAGACAAACTCTTTATTCCATTGGACAACTATTACGTTAATTGGGGGTGGGTGGGTTCATATTCTTATATTCTGTTGTGCCCTACTGATTTCTTTTGAAAGTGATTTGAATTTCAAAAGATATCAGTAATGCACAACTGAATATATGAATACACCACACACACACACAAACAATTAACGTTCTAGTTACGCCTCTGCTACTACTAACAGCATTTTCTACCTGAATATTTTCCAAGGCCCAACTTGTATTTCTGCTTTTCACTTGTAACAGAAAAGAAGTCATATTCGGCGTATTTTTTGTTTCCTTTAGTGTCTTCCATGTCAATCCGAAGTTTGTTTTGTGTTCTAGATGTCAGTCTGCTTATTTTATCTAATCCAAGCCAAAACTCGGATTTTAGATTTCCAAAGCCATTTTTGTAATCTTGCCATCCTCTGTAGAAATCAACACTACCATCAAGACGACGTTGAAACACGGTCCAGCCACCATCTGATGTCTTCATGTCACACCATACATTAAAACTGCCTCGATTGTCCGGATCAATCTTGTAGATTCCACTTTTTCTTTTACCTTTCTTGTAAAGCTCTGAGCAATCTTTTGCTAAAAATAAGAACTATTTTAATGAAATAAAACTAACCTCTGTTTTTCACCTTAAATAAATTGAAAGCATGAAGAAAGCGCTTTCAATTAACCTCACATGATTGCCGGTTTGATTCAATTGTTTAGCAGTTGAAAACTGGTGTGTAAAAGCAAAAATTGATTGGAAAATATGTAAAAATGAATGTAAGGTCAAAGTAAAAATTATCCATCGCATTTGAAAGAACTTTTGGTAAGACGTATTTAGATATTTTTCGATTTTGAAGAAATTAAAAATAAAAGATGTTTTCTGTTTATGGAGGCTGTTGAATACCATTACTACATATATATTTTGAGAATTTGCGCATGCTCGCACGCACGTTCTATTACGCGATGTATCGTTTAGAAAACAACTTTTGGTTTCAAAATCAAGAGATTCTCGTTTGAAGTAACTAAGTGTTCCTCATGTTGAGTTACCGTTCATTTAGTGAATCATTGCAGATGAAAACTCGTTTGAAGTCTCTTTGAAAACTGGAAGGCCCTAACATATTAAGATTACCAGAAAAATCAATGGCCAACAAACTTTAAATGTCCAAAGAAAAGATCCGATGCTCAGAATCTGACGTCTTCCATCAACGAGAATCCGGGCTAAAGAAATCAAGGCTCGGAAAATTGATGAAAATCAGTTGTTTAAAATTTAGTTGTGTTGCATTTTTATCGTTTGCAAAAAATATGAGTTTTTGCAAAGAAAGTTGCAAAATTGAACTCAAACTTTGAAGTTTTATGTTAAGGACAATCAATTTAAACCTTTTCTTTCATCAAAGAACATTTGTCCTCTAACTTCAAAACTCAAACTAATTGTAATATGGCAGTTTTGATCTCTCTTCCGTCTTTACCGACATTACTATTGACGAAATCATTGAAATAATTACTAACTATTTGTTTCAACGCCATAACTCTTTTCAAGGTCTCATTCGCCAAACTTAACTAATCTCCTAAACCTTGCATTTAAAAATTATCATTTTTATATATTTAACGGTCAACTATACCACCAAGTTGATGGCGTTGCTATGGGCAGCCTCTTAGAACCTATGGTCGCGATTACATTCTTGTCATTGCATGAAGACACATGGCTCAATCAAATTTTCCTTCTTACTTTAAGCCCTTGCTTTGTAAAGCATATTCTGATGGCTCTTTTCTCCTTTTTCGTCATTCTGACCATGTGCAACTTTTTGTTCACCTAATTGAACCACCGGCACCCCAATGTTAAGTTTAAAAGTGAAATCGAACGCAATGAAAAGCTTCCATGTCTTTACAAAATGATTTACCGCTAAAAGAGAAAGCTCTTAACTATACCTCTATATACACAAACCCTACATTCACTGGCCTTTTTATCAACGTCAACACTTTCATTCCAGTAACATGTACACGCAGTATATAAGAGTTTGTTTATTTCATCCCTTTTTAATCCACTAAATCTAATCTATTCCATCTAATCCACTTAAGAAACGTCTATAACAAAGTCGGAAAAGCACGCAAATATTCATTTAAAATGTGCTTCCTTGTCATATAGTTGATATTCTATAAAAATGCTCCTGGACAAAGATTTTCAACCCAAATAGTCTTTTCATACACTAGCTAGGAAAATACTCTATTTTTAACTTTCCCTTTACAGGTGTACACTTAGCTATTTCAAATGCACACACATCAACCGTCTTTGTTGTGCTGCTTTCCCAAACTCTGACATAAGATTCTTCTTTAGATCAACCAAGCGACTTTCCAGACTGTTCTTTTAAGGAAAAATTACGAAAACACTGTCTATTCTCTTACGTGTCGATGCTGTCCCGCGACGTATGTGAGTCAAACCATGTATGCACCCGTCATTTTAGACACTCGAATTTCAGGGCACTTGAACATAACTCTTTGATCAGAAAACGTTTTAAAAATCCCTATACGTTTTCCATCAATCCCACCTTAAATCTACCGGACAAACAGTTTCCTACGACGGTTTTCAAATTCTTTATTCTCGTTCAGACACCCGAGCAGCGAGCACTTCTTATTAACGAAAGCCTCTTAATTAACAAAATAAAGCCGTCTCTCTTAACGTTCAAGGAAACACCAGTTGTTCTAATATTATTTCAACTGTCCTTATGTTCGGATACTTTGTCTGTGTGTGTGTTTTTTTTATATCTAGATTATTTGATAGTTTTTTGAAAGCACTTTCGTGTGCTTTAGTCATTATAAAATAAATTCACTTCCCACATGGTATTTCCCTGGTCATTATACTTATAACAAGAAGTCATTTAATTAATATGTCGTTATTCACTAACCTTTTTCTTCGTTCTTACATTCTTTAGCTTTAATTAGAGTGGCCAAGATTTTTTTTTGAAGTAAAAGTATTTTTTCTATGACACCAATGGATCTTTGACTTTTCAGATCTTGTTTAAAGACGTTCAATGGTCCAAGTTTTGCACGATGTTCATCACTAGATGCCACCCTATATTAAATATTTAAAAATAATACCCTAGTAACAAAAATCAAAAAAGGCTCTGTTTACATGTAGTACTATAATAGTCTACTAGAGAAGGAAAGTAGTAGCAAATAAGAAAGAAAAGAAAACCTAAAAAAAGCTTGTGAACAACGTGAAAAAGCTTTTAGATGTATGTATTTATACTTCATATTCAGTATTATACATCAACGGGCTTTAGCTCTAGATTCTTTTGCAGCGTGCACAATTTTCTTTTTTATAGATGAATGCCATTAATTTGGTCTTATATAACAACAGATCCTTGATGTGTTTGTTAGTTTACAGAACGAATGTGGTTACAAACTTTTTTCCAAATGTTTGCCTTTTGTCGGGCTATTTTTGAGAAAATATTTAAACTTACAAGTGTGAGCAGCAGTGGCGTTATTACACCATATTGATTTGTGAACTAGTTATATTACTCAGTATTAGTTTTATTCCTTACTATTTGTTTGAAAGGCATTTACCTTGAACAACATAAATCCAAAAGAGCTAAAATTTTTATGCATTCATGTGACTTCTAAACTGAAATCTTTTAACTAAATGTAAGCACCCACGTATAAAACTACATTTTTTTCGCAAGAGATTTGAATTTATTTATAAAATTTTAAAGAATGTCATTGATATTTCAATTTTGTCATTGTTGACCCTTATGCCTTTCTTGACAAGTTTTTTCAAATATACAACACTAACGCACAGTACTATTAGACTTGTGCAATCGAAAGAATCTAAAAAATTCATTTGCCCATACTTGGAGCTGTTATATGTGTGTTATTTTTTACGACTACAAGTTGTTGTTTAAAGAAAAAATTTGTACATTGAGTAGATTATTGTGTTTGCACTATTTATTGTAATACTAGCATACACAATAGTCCGTTGCTTGCGGCCTCAAAACATTTACCTTCGTAGCCACCATCGGGGTGATAAATTTTATGAACGGAATTCTATAGTTTTAGATAACTTAGAAGAATTTAAACGTAATTCGTGAATTGGTAATTTATTTTATGCTTAAAAAATTTTGATCTCTGTGCATTTTGCTGACCCAAAGTCTGTGAATATTTGCCGCAGCGTTATATTAAAAAACTAGAACGAGAACGTAGATCTTACGTCATCGGTACAATCTTTAAGACACTATTATACACAAAAGCAGAGTAATTTTATCACATTACACACGTCAGTGGCATCTCGAGTCGTGAATGTTCAAAACATCTAATTAAACAAAATACAAGAGAAAAATTCTCGTAGTGATGTCAAAAATAACATTACTGGTCAAACATTGAACATGGTTAAATTTTCAACTTTGATTGTGAAAATTCCAGTAAATTAATACTTTCAAAATATAAATAAAATTACAGAAGGTTTTAAAGAAGCCTGAACTATCTAGTTGGCACAAATGCAAAACTATGGTAAACTCTCTTTTTAACTTTTATCCATTCACTGAAAAACTGGAACGCAATAATAACAATGTTTATAAGCTGGAATAGAATGTATGATATAAAGTACAGCACTCTTTCTGTATTTTCAATGCAGTTCATATCCTGTTAATACTAACATTACACCGACAGCTCTCATATAGATGTCAAGCCCCAAAATTATTGGAATGCTCACATGGATCTACAGTAAGTCTTAATTGCTGCATCACATCATCTGGAAAATTGTGGTTTAAATCATTAACTTCAACAATTGAATGCCCATCATCTGAACGTCTTGGGGCAAAACCATCATATCCATACCATTCTAAGTCACGAAAAAAAATTTGCTGGGTCATCTGTACAGTTCCTGAGCTGTTTTCTCATATCGATCATGTCATTTGACCAGATTTTGTGAGGAGACCAGTTTCGCTCAGTGCGAATAGGGTGATCATTCCAAACTGACACAAAGCTTAGAAGTGATTTTTTAATGCGAGGAGTGAACACAAAATGTAGAACAAATTTATGTAGCACATTGCCTATATTTAAGACACCAGATTATTCCATAGGTCGAAAAGTAAAATAAAATATATTACATACCATACAAAAATCATCCCTCAACAATCTCTCAATTCTTTGATTATTGACTGGTGAACCAGCCAAATAACTATCCCTGTTACAACCTCTCAATTCTTCCATCATATTCCAGACAAGAACATTCTCACTATCTGTCCTTACCCTAAAAGGCTAACCAAAATTTTCTGTCTCAGTTGGAAATAAATCTGCGACAATTTCTCTACTGTTATCAGTGGAACAATGAAGATCGACTAAACATTTCAAAAACCATCAATGGCACCATGAATAACAAAGCCTCAGTTGATGAGGCCGTGGTGACCATCAAGATGCTATGAAGCATTCGGACCTGCTACAGAATATGCTCGTCTACTGAGGACCACAACCCACTTCAGCCTTACACTTACAGGATCAAATTTTGCAAAACTTTCTCGAATTCTTCTCGATTGCATATTTAAATTAAGAGATTTTAAATGCCCACTTATAATTGGGTACTCAACAAACGTCCCATGTTGTTGGTTAAACTGATGAATAATAGAGTCCAAATCATTATCATTTATGTCTGAATATCCACACACCTTTTCAATACCTAGTGTGTTTACCCTCTCGTAAATTGTATATCTTCATACGAGCATCAAACAAGCTATCTGCTTCTACGAGTATACAGGAGATCTAAATTCAAGTTGAGTCTCTTCAGGAATTTCCAATTTGGGCCTGCCAACTGAGCCGGATATGTGTGATTTTGGTGGTTCAATACTATAAACTACAAGGGCAGTACAGTTCACAGAATCCCAGTGAGATTCATCAATGCAAATTAACAAAATTGGTAAATTTCTTGAGAACTGTTGTATAATTTGTGACGACTCAGAGCCGACGGGAAGAATAGGCAATATCTGGTGCATAGAAGTAATCGCTTGCTCCAGACGAAGTTTGTTCAGCTCGTAATCGCTTTCAGAATTGCAGTTTTTGATTTTATTTACCAGTTCCAGGAAACTTTGAGAAAATGATAGAAAGTTCCTCGCGGGTTAAACACACTGTTCAACATCCATATCCGCCATATTTCATCACTTATAGACAAAAATTCGCGAACAACGATGGATAACGGTGTCAGTGGTGGTCAGTCGTTTGCTTGGAGTTATGTGATTTTTGACATGAATTTTGCAGTTATTGACATAAATTTTTTGGTTGTTGACATGAATTTTGTAGCAATGAATGTGAATTGAAATTTATGATTGCATTGGAAAAAATAAACGTTTAACGTGACTTTATTTGTTGATATTAGGATAGAAGCGTTGAGTTGGATATAAATTTAAATGTTTGAAGTGTTTTAATGTTTGAAAGTGAACCTGATTTGTTTTTTTGAATTTTGCAACATTTGGCCAACCATAATTGACGATAGAAAAGTATAATAAAACTGTATTTTGTCGCCAATTCTTTTTTAATAAAATTGTTATAAGACCTTGTTGCCTGTTCTGTGCTAAATGCGATTAAATGATTTTATAATCTTTAAGTACGGAGTAATCGAATATAGCAAAGATTTCATTGTATTCTTTGTCCATGCCATGCACTTAAATTCTTTGTTATTTTTGACGTTATGTTAAATCCCTGCAAATATTATATTGTCCTCACTTCAGCACAGTGACGTTAGCAGATGCGAATAAAACAATGCGAATAAAATCGAACTGACTAATTACGGTAACAGTGAATCAAGTAAAATAAATGGTTTGAGCCCGGTAGTATCGTTACATGTTTGTAAATGTATATCGTCCAGGTTGGTATAGTCCTGAAAAAGACTACCGCTAAGGTTGTCGACACGTCAGTCAACAACAACAAGAACAGTCCTTCTCTGGACTATACCAACCTAGACGATCTACATTTACAAACATGTAGTGAATCAAGTGTCCAGTTATTTGCCAAACGATATAAAATCGATGTTGTTGATCACTCAGGAGATTTTACTATTCTGCCCTAGTGAAATTACGTTATTTGTGGTACATCTATTCGGATTCCAGACCTAAAATGAAACTAACGTTCCGAAAGCTTCTTATTTGCTGTGATTCTTCGATCCCCTTTAAACCGTAAAAATCTCCCCCCAGGAAAATGATACCACAGACCTCTAAAAATCAAAATTTCACATGTATATATATCGGGCGGAAAGACAAGGTCGACTCATGTCAAGATAAGTGTTCTTTCACGCCGGGGCGTGGCAGCATTTATTAACACTGACTAAAATGCAATGACTGCAGCATTGTTGGAATACCTTTTGCGACATGTGTGTTTGCATTTTCTACATTTCAAATTCTTATGCCATCTAATTTCGTGGCCAGCTGACTACAATACTGATTTTAAACTAGTTCCTGGACTCTTGCCAAAAACAATACAAAGGTTTACCACAATCCTTCACTTCGAAGTACAAATTTATCTATAATTTTTCCGACCAGCACAAATACGTTTTTAGTTAGTTAATAAGGCAAACGTATGTTTTGGCTATTCTTTAAAAGAAGATTTCTAATTCTTTGCATAATATAACTTAGATGAAGAATGGCAATTATATGTAAAACTAGCGGAAGAAAATTATGACGTACAACACAATTTGAAATATGCTGTACAATACAATATGAAATATGCTATAGTATTTGTCAAACTTGAGTATGTCACAGAAGCGTGTAAGATTTTCAGCGCATTTCAACGTAAAAATTTCAACTAGCACTTATTCATGATGTGATAAATATGTTGAGTGCGATTTGACGACTAAGGTCATTAGTGATAAATATTTGACGATTACTAGCATGAGTTGTTGCATGTAAATAGCATCAACTAGTTCTCATAACACACAACAATGGCATTAATACTCTTACATTTAAAACAATTTCCCACGCTTACTGTTGATTATGCAGCTGCTGTACACTTTATTAACTATTTTGCAGTAATTGCACCGTTTTCTTTCCTGGAAGATTACATGCAAGAATCGAAAACTTATATGTATAAACATGTTCAAAGTGTTAATTAAAGTTGTTGAACTTTTATCGTAAGGTAGTTGAACTTTTTATCGCAGAGTTCGTTGAGTTCGTCCAGCAAATTGATCTGCACTTTGATTCTTAGTTATGGAATTTTCAATAAAAAAAAATTACGACCTATTCACAACAATCTTGAAAGCTTAACATTCTTATCGAATAACAACTCTACTCTTAGTCTCTAATTTTACTTCTATTTATACCAATATTTTCGTGCGTAGGAAATAAATTTTCGTACATACTAATGTTATTCTTCCGCGTAAAAAGAATTGATTTATCAGCAGAACAAAGTGAAAGCAAAGTATGAGGATTTATTTTAGCTGATTAAAATATTAATGCGTTTAGTAGAAGTCTAAATTTTACCTGCAAATGTTGGAGAATAAAATGACAACAACCAGTATCGAAAAGAAGAATGAGTATGCCATATTTTCAGATGAAAACTTGAACAAAATTATCAAGGTTATTTTCTATGAACCTCTTTAATATTGTGCAACACACTGATGGATTAACATAATAAATTATAAAGAAATGTTTCTAGTTAAATACGGCTTTCTTGTTTGTCAAACATTTTCATAAAACGGATCCCCTCATAAGACTTTAATTTCCTGTTTTTAAAGAATTACGATAACATTGTCAAGAGATAATGCATATTAATAATGCATTCTTTACCATATAAAAAATGAAAAACTCAAGATGTCTTTGTTGTTATAGAGAAAGGTATTTTCACTGCTCAATGTTATGTCTGGCAGTGTCATTAATGATTTATTTTGTAGCTAATAAAAAAATATTGCAGAACTCTGAAACTTGATCATATTTAAAAACAATATTGGGTGTTAATCCCATCGAAATGCTTTTCTTAAACATTAACAAAAACTTGGCTTTTAACCAGTTATTGAATATCCCTTTCATTTTAATTTTTAATAACGCTGAATGAATTAATAAGCGTGAGTTGTGTAAGGTCAAGATATTACATTTCGTGAAAAAATTTTTAATTAATAAGAAAAACTTTTTGTTAAGGCAAAACACCTACGAGACGTATGCTGTTAAGATTTAATCATGTTTGCTTCAATACATAGTTCTGTAATGATTGATAAAAATTCATCGTTATGGATTAGTAATCTCAATGTAGTAATTTTACTGATCTTGAAACAGGACTGGATCAAGCAACTCTAAATTTGTGGTAAAACGTTTAGAAGCAACCACCGTCATTACTAAGGGGTCAACACTTCTAAAGATTTATTTGACAAAACAAACAAAATTATTGAAAACATAACAGCACATGGCCAAATCATGTTTAAATTATGCAGAAAGTGAGAAACAACTTTGTGGTGTAAGTATAGAGAGTCAGGATGAGGAAGAATAGTCGACCGTATAAGAATAGTTTGCATATACAGGTTTCACTTCGTATTACTTGTAAAAAGGCTGGTAATTTTCAATGATTTATCAAATTTGTGCGTGTAAACATTTGAGAGTAAAACGACAACAACCACTATTGAAAAGATAAGCGAGACAGCCATGTTTTCAGAAAGACGTTAGTTACAAAATGATAACAGTTACCCACTAAAAACCTCTTTTATGATGTCCTACACACTTATCAAGCAGCACAATAAGTTATAAAAAAATGTTTTCACCTAAGTATAGCTTTCTTGGTTGTCATTCATTTTCATTCAACGGATGCTGACTTAAGGTTTGAAATTCCTGCATATTAATTCATTTTGACAATATGGTCAAAAGCTATATCGTTCTATCTACAAAAATTTTGTGTCAACTCCTTTTCATGAGAGCAAGTGATATCTATTGTTTGATACAATCAGTTTTCAGCTGTTGAAGTATACTTTTTTTCGTTATAAAAAATTAACTAGACGTATGTTGTCATGACTTAATAATTCTGCGCTCGTTAATTAAATCTGATCGTTACGGATTTCCATGTCAATGTAGTCTAAAGCTCTTCATTTGTCATCTATATTAGAGAAAGAGGTTTCTAATAAAAAAATAACGCGTGCTTTAACAAACAAGAGAAGTCGAGTTGGTTGTAGAATGATGCAAAATAGATGAAGTATTTAGGTGTTTTATAACAAAAAAGACTTTTGAGCGATTGTTTTCTTAAAGATAATATAAGTGTATCGCCATAGCAACAGACGTTCGAAAATAAAAATATTCTAGAAGGCAGTATTACTAATTGCTCAAAAGAGCCCTAATTTTTACTGTAAAGCGCTACAGTTTCACTTACCTATTGAAAATTGAGTGAATTTTACTATGGCTTACTCTGTGTTAGAGTATCTACAATGTCATGTGTTTTGTTTAGTTTGAAGAAATAAAGCATAGAGACAAAAAATTGATTTTATTCTGTTAGCACTGTTGACAAATAATAACAAATAAACGTATGGACATGATCATAACCAGCAATAAAAGGCTGTACAAGAGGGCACTCTATATGTTAAAATTGACAATAAATTTAATAGAAATTAGGAAACCCTTTTTAGACGAATATATTTCGTGCAGTACTAAGATTAGCCTATTTATAAGTGGGTGAATTATAGTACAGAGGAAAAGTAAGGTAGGTGCTGTATCCCAAATTTTAAAATCAATGAAAATAGGCAGCAGTAATGAACAGATCTATTTGGTTCGAATAAGCTATTAATCAAATATCGTCTCCTTATAATGTTCATTCTATTTACAATGTTTGTCTATCAAAGGGGTGAAGTGTTTTTAAATAATTAATTATTTTTAAATTGTTTAAAATATTTTTGATTAGATGCAGCCAGTTATTTAACTCTTAATTGAATGTGATCGTAACATTTCTAAATAACAACCAGGGTTTTGGTAAATATTACACCAGCACAATTACTGTATCAAATCACAACATATTTTTGCTACACTTTGCAAATGCAAAGTATTTAGAATTTTTGTAAAATTTTAATAAGTGAATTGGTATAAAACACGACATTTGAAATTTTTACCACATCCCAGTATTGTAAGCAATGTAGCGTTGCTTGGGATTGAGTTAATTAAAAGCTTGGCCAACAAAGACGTTAAATGACACAAAAATATACATTATTAAACAATTTTTTTCCCAAAAAAGAACAATATTTCATTCAAGAAAGTTAAATGAAGTGTAGCTACTTAAATGCATAGAAAAACTAATGAAGTTCGTTCTAAAATATACAGTTTCAATTTTGTATGCATGCACTATGATATTAAAAGCAAAAAATGAAAATAAACGAAAGTTCTCACTTCTTAAGTAAAAAATTACGAGGTCGTATTTTCATGGAAGTGGATTTTAAGGGGTAGTAATGGCCTTTCCACGCAAGCCAATTGATACCATGATTTTTTGAACATGTGTTAGCATTCAATATTTATAATTAGAATCAAATGTACACTAGTGAGTTTCGGTTTTCTATACAAAATTGTTTGAACGTACATAAATCCATTTCCAAGTTTAGATTTAGCTCCGCGACTTAGCCCATTATTTACACTTGATCGTTAATGCAGTTATCGAGTATACATGAAAAAGTTTCCAATCCTCCACTATTATTCAACTTAATTCTTATATACATCCTTAGATTTGTTTTCAAAAATGAATTAAATCTTTAACAATTGTAGTCAACGAAAATAACAAATTAAAAATAAGGTATTGATGGAAACTTGAAATATTTATGGATTCAATCAAGCAGTCTATAGGTTTACTGCGATTGCATGTATATAACAAGTCACTTTTTGTTTGCGAATACATTTAAATTATATTTGCATTTTCTGCATAATAGCTATTAATACTTGAGTTTAGCAAGAAAACATAATGTTACATAAGTTAACTTTGACTATTTAAAAATTTTGATGGCACGAGTCCTGCAAAAGGAACATAAAATTTCTAGATAGTCTTTACAATTATGACAATCAAAGAATAGAAATAGGCTTTCCAAAAGATCAAAATTTTTATATTCTTTGTGGAGATCTTTGAAGTACTGAATCAACATTATTGATACATGACCTAAAAGTAAATACATTAGACACATAATTGTAAATAATAGTGGAAAACATCGATTGTGATTTTGAAGAAATTTTTTAATTTGGCACTCCGTAAATATTAAAAACATAAACAAACTATCGAAAAAAGAGAAGAAACCAGCATCTTGAAGAGAGAAAAAAAACATTAGAATTTATTTTAAACACTACCAGTGCACAAAATGAGATACAACTATATAAAGTATAACGAAAGAAATTTCATAGAAAATAAGCATCAATTTTTTTATTTTACAGGAGAGGAGTACAGCAGTATACATATCCCTTAAATGCATATCGTGATGTTTGAGTTCCCCATGAAGGAAGATATCCTACTGAAGAATGGAGTATGCATGTCTTATGAGGACCATTATTGCCTAAAAAACATTTATAAAATCAATCTTTTAGTTAATAAGTCTTGAAGCTAATAATTATTTTTAAAAGGTATAAATAGAAAGGATGAAACCAGTTATCTTTCAAACAGAAGTCCTTCTCCCTAGTGTTACTAAATATTATATTTTTTCGAGGATGTTTGTAACTATATTTTCTATACAGGTAGATAGTATTTTTACCAATTTGAAGCCATTGGTTATATGCGTCTTTAACAGGAGTCCAATGATCACCAAACCTTACTGGTCCAACTGGATATTTACCATCTCGACAAATGACAAAAGAAGGACACAATTGTTTTCCATCAGCTTTACATGTCGTCTTGGCAGACAAATAAGTAATATCGCTAGAAAGGGACTTGACAACGTATGCTGAAAAAATATGACTTAAAATGAATTTCAGGAAGTAATATGAAACACATTAATTTTAATGAAAGGAATTAAGATACATTAAAGTAGCATTAATTTCTTCTTTTCTTAACTATGTGGAATTTTAGACTGTATTTTCCAACTCACCAACACCCACAACGCTGCGTGTTTTCCTCTCCATCTGTATTAAGTCATCATCAGCTCTCATAACTCTTGCACTGTACAAAACAAAAAATCAGACTCAGTGATAAAATATTATAGAATATTCTTGATAAATAAATAACGGTGGAATATTTTTATAAATAACGGCTCATAGCTCATATCCATCCTTTGTTCAGAATTCTTACAAGCATTTAGAAGAAAGTATTGAGAAATGTTGACGCTAAAAGATTATAATAATAACATTAAGGAATTTGATCAGTAATATAGATCATGATTATTTACGAGTTTTCTGATAGAAAGTAACTAGCGCAAAAATTTTTCAAATGACCAATGATTCTTCAAGAAGATTGTTATGAGTCTGACAGTAAATATAACGCACAAAAACAAAAACAACAAAAGTATTGAAAAGAAGCGGGAATGAGCCATATTTTCAGACGAAATTGATAAAAAATTATAACAGTTACCAACTGGAAACCTCTTTAATGGCTGCTAAACACTGATGAAATAACATAATAAACTATAAAGGAATGTTTCTAGTAAAGAAAAAGCTTTCTTAATTGTCATGCATTTTCATTAAACTGATATCAACTTAAGATT